TTAGAGAACTGTTTACCAGAAATGCTAAGAGATTACACAGACGTTCATGTTATGATGGCAGGAGACTTTAACACACGTATTGGTTTACTGCCTAACTGTATATTATATGATGAGAATAATGATTATATTCCATGTTTACATGACATAAACAGTGAAAGGGACGTCTCCTCCATTCTAAGGAAATCGAGAGTAATTACTCTGAAGATAGATAAGTGGACATCCTTAATTGGATACTTTCATTGGGTGAAAGTCAACTTCCTATTTTTTTATGTCTCACTCGCATGAGATATGAGACAATTCTTTTCAGGAATCAGTAAAAACAATTAATTCTTTCGAATCCTCTACCTCTATTTCATCTTTGCCATAAATCCTGTATTTTGGCTTCAGTCACACTAACTAAATTTTCAGATTTTCAACATAAATCCTCTTCACTGTCAATTACACACAATTAGTTGTTCCCAAATAGCACTATAGCAACCCAAGCTATGATATGCGTAATGGCGGGAAACCTCACTTCTTTCCTGTGTGTGCTAGAGTCTACACCTATTGTTATAGTTGTAATGATCTAGTACTTGGTTGTAGTCACATTTAATCTAAGATTTGTTATGGTTTTCTAACAGATATATTAAGTGATATTAAGAGCTTCTAATTGTAGTGACGATTATACTCATGTAAGTATTGCTGGGGTGAGGTGTTTCGGAGGTCGTCATGGAGTCTCCCCCTCCTTCTGCTTGTAAGAAGTGTGGCCATTTCATGATCATGTGAGATCCTCACAGGACAGTATTGGCAAAGAAGAGTTCTCCGGCTAAGAGGCCGCATGGGGGACAGCATCAGACCTCAGCGTCTCTACCCCATCGATTGAATCTACTCCTGGACACCAGTGGATGATGAACACGTTGAGTGTATGGATTATGATGAATATCCACCCCTCCCGGGAGTTACCCACGGTCATTCTGAGGCGGAATCGGACCTATATGATGAGGTTAATCAGTATGACTATTCACCCCAGCAGGATTATACAGAGGGATACATACTACCCTTACCTTCATTGAAGCGAAACTTGTATCAAACCATGATTCTCCACTTTTGGTCCATCAAGTTTTGGACGAGGACTTATGAAGCTATTATAGCTAAAATGGATAGAATTATCATTAAACCGCCCGCACGTTATCAGAAATGAGCGGGCCACTGTAACTTGATAATGCCCTCATATTACTTGACAACGGACCATTATCACGCCCGTTGTTAGGTGACGTCATAGGGTAGAGAAAATGACGTCACGTATTATAGTGACGTCATCTGGTTTGTTCTTTGACGTTTCCATATTTGTAAAATGTGCTCAGTGACATTCGTGTTGATTGCAGTAAATGTTTCAAAACCGATATTGTTGTTTCTTTTTATTTGATAACAAATTCCATCCATTTTAGCTATAATAATGGTAACGCTATTTTTCAGGGCATTATCATTTGCAGAAGCCCTCGGTCTTTTCAACTGCCCTCCTTCGTCAGGCAGTTAATGAAAAACCTCGGGCTTCTGCAAATGATAATGCCCTGAAAAATAGCGTTACCCTTATAGTACGCAACCCTAATACTAAAGTCACGTTACTTGCTTCCCAGATTAAAGACCTGTCTGTGGCGTCCAGACATTCAATGGACATTGGCGCATATATCAACTAGTTTGTCGCCGGAATCAGGCACATCATTCCACCGTTGCAGACATCATATGACGGCATATCTGGAGAGACTCCTATGACTATTAGGATGGATTAGGTCGGACTCATCCACAGCCTGCTAGACACCATAGAACAACTCAGAACAACTACTAGCAGAGATTCGTTCAAGAGCTGTTTTCAACTAAACAAGGTTTCTAGACAAGGTCATCCACAAGGTGGAGGAGACGGATTGCATGATAACCTTGATAGCACCAATCTGGCCCACCAGAGTGTGGCTCCCCAGATTATTAAGTCTATTAATGGAAGAGCCTTTCCAGTTACCTCTCCTTTGAGATCTGTTACGACAGCCCAGGTCTTAACATTTCTATGACAATCTACCCAGCCTACATCCAACCGCCTGGAAGTTATAACACAAAAGATGCAGACACCCTGTTACTCTGGACTTGTAGCAAGATCATGGAGACCTTCATCCTCCCTTATATATGACAATGGGTTAAGATCATCCAGGGGAGAAAATGACAAGGGATTATAACTAATACAATCTCCATCCCTGTGGTAGTGGACTTTCTACTACATCTACGTCAGGACAATAAGTTCTGACATGGGACAATAGAAGGTTATGGATCGGCACTTCACTCTGTACTTCAACATGACGGACTCTCAATCGGAAACCATCCCATTCTAAACAGACTAAAAAACTTTCCAACAGGAAGATGTTCGCACACCTCCTATTTTCCCCAAGTGGAGTCTATCTGTGTTATCAACACTTTTAACAGAACCTTACGAGACCCTGGCTAAGACCACCTTACTCCAAAGATCCAGGAAAGCCTCCGTCCTCCTAGCCATGGTGATAGCAGCAAGAGTTTCAGAACTCCAGGATCTGGACTATGATCAACATTGGACCTCAATTAATCTAAGACCGCTCCCAGATTTTGTAGCCTATAATCAGTCTACCACCATGAACCATAGACACTATACCATTCCTGCCTTAGGGCCGACAGTGGATCACCCAGACAGACTTCTCTGTCCCATCACAGCTCTCAAATTCTACCTTTTGGCTACAGACCCAAATAAACATCATTGAAGGAGACTATTCATATCCTGCTAGCCTCATTCCAACAAGGACATCACCAAGGCTACGGTTGCGGGCTGTCTTAAGTCTACCGTTGCAGCGAGTTATACGCAGACACAGAATTCCACTCCCCGTATTGGATTCTGCCCGGCTCATGATCAGAGCCCTAGCCACAAGTCTCACTTTATGCGTTTCGGCTGAACAAATGGTGTCTAGTTGTCAGTGGGCCTCACAAAACACCTTCACCAGCTTTTACTTGTGTGATGTTCAGCCGGACCTAGAGGGCATATATTCCCTTGGGCCCATTGTCTCGGTGCAAACTACCATCTACCAATAGTTTCCTATCCGATGCGGGCAACATCAGAGGTTGAATACACTCATGATTATCCTGTCTATTAGGTGTAGGATGGATTAGGAGCACCTTGAGTATCAACTGCTTCAAGAACTAGGTTCAGGTGACCGGAAGTGACGTAAGAGCCGGAAGAGACGTCAGCACAAGAAATAGCAGTACAAGGTCCATCTAATGAGGAAATGACGACTTTTGGTAGAAATAGACCATAAGAGACTTCATTATCCACTAAAAGGGAAGTGACAAACCGGAAGAGACGTCAAAACCGGAAGTGGGAACAGGAAGTGACGTCAGCAACGGAAATAGTGTCACAAATCCATTTTTAACAGGAAATGATGTCATTTACTAGAAATAGAAATGATGTCATTATTACTTATAAGATCAGCAAATATAACGGTAATTCTAATGAAGGTATCCTCATGTGAAATTTCAAAGGAAATTATCTCAGGTCAGGATTAGAATCAGTGATTAAATGGTCCCCAGAAGAGGATTACTGTCAATTACACAGGGAGTTACTGGAGGCAGATCCCGCCGGGTCCCTCTGGTATATTCTGGCAAAGATGTAATAGCGGAAGAGGATTCACAAGAATTATCGAACAATAGTTTTCATTGTTCATGATTCTAAGAATATTACATCAGAAGTACTCCCACCCACATCCCCAATTCACCTACCTCTAGTGGTTAGATGTTGGAAAGAAGTGAGGTTTCCCGCCATTATGCACATCATAGCTTGGGTTACTATAGTGCTATTTGGGAACAACTAATTGTGTGTAATTGACAGTGCAGAGGCCATCTGTTGAAAATCTGAAAATTTAGTTAGTGTGACTGAAGCCAAAATACAGGATTTATGGCAAAGATGTTATATAGTAGTAGGTAGTATTCTTAGAATTATTAACAATGATATTTATTGTTCGATATTCTCCGCAAAAAAGTAGGGGATCATAAAAAATATAAATGTTGTGATTGGTCGTTAAAAGAAAGATCAGCTTCTAAGACTGCCAGAGAAAGGTTTCGGATTCAAAACCTAATGCTGCTACACACCCAAAACATTGAATGAGGAGCATTTATTTCCTCCATGCATGGGGGTAGGGGGCCATTGTTGATTACGACACTTCAGTGAAAGGTTGTCAAATCATTCTGAACCATTAGTATTGTTGATTTTCATTATCTACAGTAATACGTAAACTCTACTGCTGCTTTAATGCAGTGTTTGTGATCAGATTGGGAATGTGTCATCTTCAACATGATGAATGCCTAAGGGCTATTGGCATGCTTGAAACTGGTAAAACTCACATTGAGGTAGCCAATAGTTCAATTTGTCTCAATCTGTGATTTGCCAGGCACTGCAAGAGGAGTGGACTCCCATCAAATTGTCATTGAAAGATTGATTCAGACCATGCCACGTCGTATAAACGAATGTTTGACCAATTCGTGGCAAGACCCTTAAGTCATCTCAACAGTCATTTTTGCCTACACACCCCTGTTGTCTTTCTTGGTTGTGTCCTTACAATACACCGCCAACAAATTCTGTTGATTGTAATGTTTCACCTTGTCCTTAGTTTTTCTTATTCATCCATTACTCCCACTTGATTCTTCTTGTATTTCTGTATGTCCTGAACATCCCCTACTTTTTTGTAGAGCATATAGTCACCATTGAATAAACTGTTGCTCCTCTTTAGGTTAGACGCATATTATTTTCTTATGATGAAGGAGTAAGCATATACTCCGAAACATGGTGTTCCTCATAATAAAGAAGCTGACATCCATAAATTGTCTTCCTTAAGAAATGAAATTGTTGTTTGATTGGAATAACAGATAAGTAGATACTTGATGCCTGGCTCTGAGAGTGGATGGTAATGAGACTGTGTGTTCCCAGCACCTGTTGACCTGCATGTTTGTTTGACTAGATCTGCAGAGCACGTGAGCAACATACCACTAACTGGCGACACTCAGGCTGATGAAGACATCATGGCATTTATCAAAGCTAGACAAAATTTGGTCGAAAAAGGTAAGTTAGAATCACATCCATTTGAACTTGATCAGTGATTAACTTTAAACTGTTTCTTAATTATTAACCTGTTAGAGACCCTTTCATAGATATTGTGACTCATGAAGATCCAGATAGAGAATAGGGCTTCAGCAATCCATGCTTGCCTTCTTAGAGGCAACTAACGGGATTGGGTGGTTAGGTTAGCTGACTTGGTTGATGCATGTCATTGTATTCCAATTGTGTAGATCGATGTTCATGTTGTCAATCACTGGATTGTCTGATCAAGACTCGATTATTTACAGACTACCGTCATATAGCTGGAGTATTGCTGAGTGCGTCATTAAACAACAAACAAACAAACAATCTTAACTACATTTTAGTAAATGGTGTGGAATGACTCCTGGCTGAATGACTATAGTTTTACGCCGTTTTCAGCAATATTCCGGCATGTCACAGGGGGGACACAGGAAAATGGGCCTGGCTGAATGATGAATTTATATATATCAGAAATGATAAGACATCCAGAAATGTTTCTATATTCAACTTCTATATCTAGAGGTGTTCAGGCCCCTATGGGATTCCAGGTTAGAATTGGTCTCCAGGAATCTATGCTGGTCATAAGAGGCTACCAAATGAATCAGGTCGTTAGGCTTGGTGACTTGGTTGATGGCGTGTCATCTTACCCTGAATGCTTAGATTATTGCTCATAATATAAATCACTGCATTGTGTGGCCGGATTTGGTTATTTACAGTCTGCCATCATATAGCTAGAATATGTCCTCCTACAATAAGCTGGCATACAAATAACTAAACTGTTCAAAGCACTGCATTGTGTGGCCGGATTTGGTTATTTACAGTCTGCCATCATATAGCTAGAATATGTCCTCCTACAATAAGCTGGCATACAAATAACTAAACTGTTCAAAGCAGCATTATATTTACTCACTCATACATATGTTCTTCTTTCAGTAAACCAGGGAAACAGATGACACCAGTGTGTAGGGGAAGGCATTATCTGAAGCTGTTTCAGAATAGATAGATCTGAAGGAATATGAAACGTCTAATGAAACCCTTACAGACCAGTATAATCATCACCATCCAGCACCTTATGACATAAGGTCTATAGTCAGAGGAGGCATACACACTACCACTTACCATCATTGTTATCCAGTCTCAATTCTGATAGATGAATACCCAGGACCCATTCAACGCCATATCTTTGTTATTAGTTTGGTTAAATGACTAATGCTATATATAGACATCCAATCAAATTACACTGTTCTTTCATGATTGGAACAAGCAGCAATATCACCACTTATCAACATGACTTTTGAATGCTATTTCAAATGCAGCCAGAATGTCTTGTATCGCTGGAACTTTCTCTTCAAGCAATGAGTTCATTTCTTACGGTCTTCTGATTTGATTGTTACACAAATGAGGCCACTATTTTCACTGTACATCTAGGCTATATTCAAGAGGCATTTTGATTAGTAAATCTGTGATGGATGTGGGGATGTTACGTCTGAAATGAAGCTGAGATGGCAAGTGGGTCCAGCGTATTTGTCATAATGAAATGGAGATATTACCATGGGACAATACACCATGGAACTACACCTGGAAATACTGATCTTTGAAGTCAATGTTGTTGCTGTCTGCAGCCAAGTTGTGTTAAGACCTACTATCTCCCAACACTGATCCAAACTGTAGAATTTTGTAACCTGGTATGATCAATGATCAGCCTGGAACTGGTGTTTGTGTTCCTGTGTTCACAGTAAAAGAAGTAAGAGCTGTGGCTTATTCGATTGTAAATTTTCTACTGTATGAATGCAGAGTGAGCTTGCGAAATCTATACATACATAGCATTCAGCATTTTGTAAAACCATCCATGTAGGAAATGGACTGTAACAGTGTTTTAGCATTTGTGGGAATTCCTGGTTAGAATTTGTCCCAACATATGCTAGTCATAAGAGGTGACCAAATGGATCGGGTGGTCAGGTTGGTTGATAAGCATGTCCTCGTACCCAGATGGCATGGATCATTGTTCACAATATCTATAATTGGATTGACTTGTCCAAGACTCAATTATTTACAAACCCCTGTCTTATATAGCTCAAATGTTTCTCAGTGTGGCTTTCAAAAACAAACAAAGCCTAAAGATGTTTGTTTTCTTCCATCCTCAAGACAACATACTGGGAGCGACATATTAGACCCGTGAAGATCTGGGTAGAGAATAGGTCTTCAGCAACCCATGCTTGGCTACTATGCTTATGTAAGAGGTGACTGATGATATCGGGTGGTTAGGCTTGTTGACTTGGCTGATGCATGTTGCATAGATCGATGCTCATGATGCCAATCACTGGATTGACTGGTCCAGATTTGAATATTTACAGACCGCTGTCATATAGCTGGAATATTGCTGAGAACAGCGTTAAACAACAAATAAACAAACAACAACATATTAAAGTTTTAGATTAAAATAAAATACCCTGTACATCCACACCTCTTCAAATGAAATTATTGTCCAAAAGCTTTTAGATACCAGGGGCTTGTTGTATTAGTAAGGTGTGGTATTGTTAGAATATCAAGCACTGCTACAATATATTTTGTGTGTGGCCTTCATAGGAACCTTGTAGCATATCAGCTGTAACCCAAAAAGAGTAACAGTGTTAAAACAGTGTTCAAAGTTAAACACGTTAAAGTGGTCGTTTCGTCCATGAGGCTTTCTCCTAGGGTAAGTGAATCAAAGGAATCTCTTAATCTTTAATAATAGTTTTATGACAAGGATCCCATGATATTTGTGCTTAATTTTGAACACTGTCGTAGGTGCCTTCTTACATACTTAAGGAATCACATGGTTGTCTTTTTTATATTCATGAACAGTATTTGTATAGGGATATATTTTTCATTGAATTGCTGTTTGAGCTCAACATATATACTACTCAAAAGAAGTTAAAGAACATCCAATTCTTTCATACAGTGTATTAATCTGAACAGTGTTTTGTTAATCTGAATTGCTATGACAGATTAACTATAGTAATATGAAAGAATCAAGTGTTCTTCAACTTCTTTGAAGTAATAGAATATTTTAACATGCATATTCATTGTCAGGTTAGGTTCAACATCCAACTGTGGACTGACAGCAAGCAGAACTTTTACCATGCAATTATCATCCTCACATTAATCTGTGCTAATTTGTAGTTCGAGTGAGCTTCTGTTGTGGCACGTTGGTCATCCATGTGGCATAAACTTCACATATTCAACATCTCGGAAACCAAATGGCATATGTTAAAACTTTGCATGGATTTTATCATTTATCTTAACAAAAGTACCGGTATTTTTATTAAAAAAAAGGTGTTCATAGAGTTGCACACTGATCCACTGACCAGGGTAATAATAATGCCCCTGTGGTGTGGAAATATTGTGCAATATAAATGGCTTTATCAGTTTTTATCCAATTTAAAATATGGAGATCATGACAGCCATATTGAACTTATCAATCTTCACAGCCAGTTCTGCGTCTATCATTGTGAAATTGGATATGCAGTATGTGGTCTGCATTTACATTGTGCCTTTATTTTTTCACCTCCATGCACAATAGGAATTACCATGTTGAAAGATGTGTTGAAAATGTAACTTTGCCTCTCTACACCAACATATTTTAATGTGTCAATGTGTACTTGAATGTAGTATAAGAATTCATTTGTGTAAACACTGCTTGTTTACCCTTTTGTGACCTTTGTATCTAATATTTCAGAACAATTCAGGTGAGCTACAAAGCTATATATATGTATACAATGACATGTTGCAAGGTGTCCTTGCTGCTACAATCAATATTTGTAAAGGTCAAGGTAGGATAATGGCCTACATGATCTGTGTAATTTAAGAATTGACCAAGACTTTAGAAATTGTAATGAACGTTGTCAGATGTATCAGCATATAAGAGAGAACTAGACTTTGTTCATTTGGGACTTTTGACAACACTTAAAGCATAGGTTAGGATAAAATGTGTCCAAAAGGGTGATTTTTAGAGGTTTTACATGAAGTGTTCTTTCTGATAGTTGGACATGAGCAAGTCTTTAACCTGAGCTGATTGTCCAAAATAGACATAACATTACAAATGGTGAAAACATATGGTGAAAACATCATCTTGGGTCACCGACTTGCTCATACTTAATTTTTCATTTGAAGTACTTAACCTTTTTTCACTCAATTTAGCCATATAAAATTTATTTGACTTGTCATCTAAGACATAATTGAAGGCAACAGGAAGGTATGTAGCTGCACAGTGAAGCTGTATTGTTGACAGCTGCATGTATTGGTGTCTCTTTTATCAGTTTATGACTGTAGTGTATTATAATGTGACTTTGAAATATGAATAGATCATAACAAAGATGCAGAATGTGTATTTGTGTCCACTTACTAACTAGTCTGTTGTATCCAAGGACTGAACTGAAGCCTGTGTCATATTGACTGGTCATTAATCATGCTAACACTGACAGCTGCCTTCAGCAAACAAACAAACAAACTGAAATGTTTGATATTTTAATTACGATTTGAGGAAAAAACTTGGGAAATTGGTGAAACACACAAATGTGATTCCGTCCATATCACAGCAATCCTTGTAGGAAATGTAAAATATTGACTACAGCAGATGAACATCTTATTAGCAGAATAAAGCAGAGCGAGGGCCACCATTGGGGTTTTTGTTTATAATACTCAGTTCACTATCCTCCGTTCTGCTTGGGATAGAGAAATATACACGTGCAAATGCATGGCAGATTTTGCAAATAAACTCCTATATTTCTTCCTACCAATAAGTAACTAGTAAAAAAAATTTGGTATAAAAATGAATGATAATTTATAGCAAAAATCTTTGTCTATCATTCATTTTACCAAGTTTTTATCATCCAAAACTGGCTCCCATAGGAGATATCGCTTGGATGAGATCAAGCAATATCTACACTGTAGATATCAAGTGTAGATATCGCTGCAATGAAATTACATCACAATGCTTTGCAGACCATTGTGACATCACTAATGGCTCTGCTACTAAAGCTGTTAGCAGTACTTTTTACACTGAAGACACTGCTAATTACTGTCTACAAATTGAAAAAGTTGGAAGAATGATGTTGGATGATAAATAAAATCTCACCCTCGTGTCTTTTGATACCAAATATATCAACACTCATTGATAAAAGTGGCAAAAATCCTCGGCAAGCCTTGGAATTTTTCCACTTTTAACTTGTGTTGATATATTTTATATCAAAAGACACTCGGGTGAGATTCTCTATATATCAGCAGCTTATTTATAAACACACACCAGTAAAAGACATCGAGCAGTGAGTATAGTATAGTCATTTCTGAAATGGTTATTATTGCCTTGACAAAGGCCTATATGCGGTCCCAAGTCTGCAGTAAATACCTGTGAAAAGTCTAAGTGTTATATTTATATTTAATCTTATAATTTAGTAGATGTTAAAATGATTCAGAATTTAGGACAAAATCCCAATTTTGAACAAAAGAATAGATTTCCAAAAAATTGCCTGCCAAAGGCACTTAGTTTAGAATCCTAGATAAATCCCTGCCTTACTCTAAAAGTGTATGAGTTGAGTAAGTAACCCCATGGGCCCCCAGTTAGTGCTGACTCAGCATATAATGTAACACTTCACATGAAACTTCACATGTTAACATAACAGTTAGCAATACAAGCTTAGGGCTAGAAATTTTGATAAGATTATCTCCATCCTTACTTTGAATCAAACACATCACTTACATAGCGCATGTTATATTTATTCGTCATTACATTTTTAATTGACCTGATTCCATGACCCGATATTAATATTATGCTTTTATAAAAAAAATTTTTATCAAATACATGTACATTTTATTAAAAATTAGAACGTCTTGCACATTTAGATTACAAGATCGTTACATTCATCATGATCTCATGAAAGTATGTGTTTATGAATCTGTGTCAACAATTACAAATTGTTTAGTTTTGATATTTCCCTTGATGTTGCTACCATTAATGAAGGTCATAAGTGAATACATTTTATACAGTTTTATCTGTAACAATCAGATTTGTCATAAATAATAATATCGAAAAAAATCTTCACACATGGTGACCTTGTACAACAACGAAATAATGTTACCCAACAAACAGACACTTTGTGCCATAATGAAAACAGCTTGCAAAAATATATTATTTTCTACACCAAAATTCAGATAACACATGAAAAACGTAGTTGTTTCCAACCAACAAAAATGTTGTATACGCTCTATTGTTCCTTGGGTATAATTTTCTCAAGTTCAAATCCCCAGTTTGTATGCATAGTGAGAGTTGTGGGATTAGGGGGTTCATGTGGTCATCTTGGGACATCCCCTCTTCCCAAATTATTCTCTTTAGTTTTATCCCTAAGAGTATGACACAGACCCTGCAATAATAACAAGCCTAGCTATGGAACAATGTTATTTGATATGTAGAAATGGAAACATCATTTACTCTTGCTACGCATCCTACCACTCAGAAGCAAATGACATTTCTATGTTGAAACTGTCATAACGAAAGACTAGAAGGTTTACATTTGTAGCACATGACTGACACACCTATCTCACTGGAATAATCAGTGCATACACGAGGATCCTGAATTGGTTTAATGTTTAATGTAAAATAGCTAAAGAATACTAAAACATAAGTCAAATTTGTATCATGTAAGATTAACCTAAAATGTTTATAACAACTGTTCATCATAATCGTAAAAGTCATATACAATTAGATCTAACAACACAACAAAACCAGTCATGTTTGGAATTATGGCGGGGCCTTTTTTCCTGGGCTGAAACAATTACTACAGACTAACAGCCCCAAATTTTACTGACTTACAGCCCCCATCCCCATCAGGACCCTCATACACATACATAAGTACATGTATTATTACAGTTGTTAAAGATCATCTTTCTTTTTTTTATCAAAATTTATACAGAATCAGTCAAAAGCACACAATATATGACTTTCACAACAAATTTAAGGTCATCATAACTGTTTACACAGTCTACTGTAAACACTGATGTATGATGCAGTCACAACACTTTGTGACAAGGCTGAAACAGGATAAAGAAGTCACAATACATATTACAAAACTGAATGTAATCTAATATTGAAATACCAAAAGTTCATTTTAGTTTCCAAATCTGTTTTTGATGTCAAATGCCTATGCTGTATGTTTGTTTAACACCGCACTCAACAATATTCCAGCCATATGACAGTGGTCTGTAAATAATCGGTTCTGGATCAGTCAATCCAGTGATTGACGTCATGAGCATCGAATTATGCAACTTGGATACGATGACATGCATCAACCAAGTCAGCAAGCCTGTTACTCCCCTCTTCCGACAAACGTGTTGCTGACTTTAATCTAAGTCTTCACAGGGAAAATGTGTATGCAAAATGTGTATGCAAAGACAGCACAAATTCATGATCAGGTTAATACAGAAAAACGTCAGGGAGCTAATAGACCAATGGCTGTGCAGATAATTGTAACAATTTGTGACACAATACTTGTGGCACCTACCATGTATTGTATTATGATATCACAATAAATAGGTGAATCACTGAAGACTTGTGTTGTCCTCATCATTAGCATTATAACAAGGAAGACATGAAGGTTGGGTTCAGTGCCATCCTCACCCCTACAGCATAATGATCTATTGTATGAGGTGATGAGATGTGCAACAAGAAATTGTGCATGCATAAATAAGCACATTTAAAGCTGAAACTAACATAACATTAAAGAACAAAACTGAAATATATTAAAAAAGCAACCAAACTGTCAACAGACAAGTGTTATAACTATGAAATGAGTCTTCTAAATAGAGGCATCTATGTCTTAGCATCTCTTTAAACAGAATTAAATGGATGTTTAATCATAAAAATCCTAACAATAACATACATCAATAAACGAATAGATAAAAGACAGAAAGTTAACATAGTCAAAAGAACATTCTTCATAACCATTGTTGAAAAATAGTTGATCCATGTTAACAAGCATCCTAAATATATATAATAATATTTCCAAGTCAAGCATGTGTTTATGACTACAAGACTATGAAAATACTAATATGTATTAGAAAAAGTGTATGTTAAAAATTCATTGTAGTTCAAATTATCATAGACTAGATCATTGACCAAATGTTTTTGCTCCTAAAGCATTAAATGCTCCCAGAAAATCTGCCTGATCTATGTAGAAACTGAATTTGCAGTGTTCAGTATTATGGTAAGCAAGTAATATATCTTTTTCCCCCCTCACATGGCTACGATGGCATGATGTAAAATTTCTGTGACTCCTCACTGAGTGATAAGTCATAAACAGGTGGTGAAACGTATTAAAAAGTGATAAAAAGTGTTTAAATAAGATCGTAAAAATATAAACACAGAACTCACACGGTCAAACCAACAAACATAGTCGAGACGATAACAGTGTCAACAAATAGTTATAAAAAAACGTTTCTCCTGATAACATGACAACAGGTGGTAGATATATGGTGAAACAGTTCACTCAGCTCGAAGCACATTGTAGAACATAGTGACCAGGGCTATTGGGGCTACTACGAGACCTGGTCAGCCTTTTGTTTTTGGTGCATCTTGCTTGTGAGATTCATCTTTCTATGGGCTCGAGGGGTAGGGGTTTGATCACTTCTCCCATTCCTTTAGACTTGCCATCTCGGAACAGCAGTCTGGACCCCGGTCGAATGTACTCCACATGTTTGAAGAGACGGAATATTACTCTGGCTTTTTCATTAGTACGTATGTTTTCCTGTGAACAAAGAATAACAAAGTTCGTAAAATCTAATAAAAATTTACATTTGTATACTTAGCCTGCATTACTCCTTCAAAGCATTTACTGCTATATCTTGACAGAAAAACAAACTGTGTGAGATCCAGCTGCTAAAGGAAAGTGGCAGCACCCTTGCGCAGTTGGCATGTGAGCCGGAGGCGATGACATCACATAAGAGCACATTACTGCAAACACAACATCTGAAACTTTGTGGGGAGGTAGTGCAGCAAAGGGAGGACATTTCTCATTTAGACGTAGCAATGCAGGCTAAGTATACAAGTGTAAAAAATATATTTAGATTTGACTAAATATATTAACTTATCCTGCATTACTCCTTAATGTATCTTTATCCAACGTTATGGCAGGTGGGCATACCTTCAGACGTAATCCATAATAAACTGTCGTCAAGGTCTGATGAACCTGCAACCCCATCCAAGTCTAGACCGGAAAATCCATGACCATTTCTGTCAGAAGGAAACGAGAGATGATGCAACAGGAAAACCCGATTAGGTGGCAGAAATAGAAAGAGGCGGGTAGCCATAAAGTAGAATTGACCTAAGAGCAAATGTAGAAACGTAGTCGAGCCCTCTAATCTGTAATCTGGGGTCATAAACACTGGAGAGTTCAACAGGACCACTTGGGTATCGGAGACTCTGCGGCGTCAAGGATTGGGCTACTGGCTGTGGGAACTGCGGGTCACTAGGTTGGATAGGCACATGGAGGTAGGCATCTTGGAAGTCGAAGCTGATCATGGAATCACCGGCGTTGATTCTTGTCCTGAGCCGCCTCAACATTGTCATCCGGAAGTAGAGAGGCTGTTCTAGGTAGCACCGATTGAAAATGGAGAGGTTATGGATCATGCATAGTTTGTTGGCGCCCTACTTGGGAGCAGAACCCCAGAGTTTGATCCAGAGCAGTGAACAACCTCTATGGCCTCCTTTGAGAAGCAGGGTGTCAATGCTGTCACACAGGAGCTGATGTTGATGTGGGGAGTAAGCAACTGTCGTCTGGGTAGACGTCAGAGGTGGATGTAGTACCAGCAGAAGACTGTACCCCTGACAGAGGACTTTGGTAACGAACGGGTCCTCTAGGATAATCCAGTTTTGCCCAAACCATCCCAGTCGCCCACCTACAGGTGTATTGGAACGACACATTGAAGTCAAACAGGTGGGCGTTTGGACTTCTGATCGGCACCTTTGCCAAGGTGGCAATCATGTTGGGGCTGGTAGGTACCGCTGGGCTTGCCTTGACCACATTCCTGGCCTCGAAAGGGTGAGGAATGTCGAGGTTAGTAGAGTCCCTATACGACTTGGCCAATGTCTGCTGTGTAATGTGCTCAAGGGCCTTAAAGCCTTCTGCAAAGCAGGAAACCCAGCTCCACTGAACAGAGAGGACCCAGACCAGACCAAATAGCAGTTATTTCCGCAAGTGATTCCACAGATGGTCGATCTGTCAGAGCTGGAAAGACATTACAGTCCGCTGGTAGTCGATCCAATTGGGATTGGACTCTGACAGATCCTGGTCTATAGCTCTGGAGGAGGAAGCGAGTGTTGAGAGAGGCTGTAGTGGTCGATGGAGCTCGGACTCTCCAAAGGCAAGGAGGGTATCTGGCATGTGAAGTGTGGTAATTTTGGAAGACCTGGTCATTCGATACAGGTCCTCATCCAAAAGGTGAGCTCCATCAGCTACGTCGAAAGAGTGGACTGGGAAGTCATCTTGACGAAAACAAGGATGCTTCAACGACGGCATGAGAGAGAGCTTGGCTAAGTCCTCATCTAATGCTAGAATGAGGTCAGTCAATGTGAGGTCGGGTGGAATCGAAGTCGGTTAGACCCCATCGTTGATTGAGGCCAATGAGAACCCGTAGTAGATAGTGGTGCTCGGGCAAGTAAACTGAACACACAAGAGAGGAGGCGCTGAAGCACAGCTGCACCACTTTGGCTGGTGCCAAAGTCTGATGAGACAAGGACTGCATCCAGGCATCATCCATAAAGCAAGGTGGAACTACATGTTGAGGCGTCTATTGGAAGGTTAGGGGGCTGTAACCAGGAGGCACTGGTGGCACCGCAGACACAGCAGAGGAGTACAGGTGCCAGAGTCGCCGTGGAAGAGTTGAGAGATGCAGGCACCGAAGATGAAGACATGGTAGGGTGTGGTATGGGTGGCATATGAGACTGCAGTAGGTGTTGATGTTTCCTGGTTAATCATAAGTAGAGGTTAAAGGTAGACAAGGGACTGCAGTGATAGAGTACAGGGTATTGTACAATCAGGGCAGAGAGGGTGGGGCTACAGACCAGATTTCTTTCCATTGCAGAGGGTACAACGAGGCATAAATTCTATAATTTTAGCAAAGTCATATTGATGTGGCAAGCACACAACGGGAACGGGAGGCACAATGTAACATAAAAACTTTTCCTTTTTAAATTTTTTGCGAGCAATGCTTTAAAACACACAAACATGAGGTAAAGCAGAATAATGGACTACCCAAGCCAAATGAATTCAGAATGCAAGACACGAAAATGGACCACGTGGCAAATTCAATATGTTGGATGGAACAACAATATGCCCGTAATATTACTATAAAATACATATGGAAAGAACATAAAGGGCATAAACCATAAACAGAAGACAATACATGAGCAAACGATCAAACAACAAGCAATGTTTGCTAGCAAACAATAAGCTTTATTTCCACAGGGGATACACGTCTGTTCTTGGAGCTGACAAAGCAGTAATGTGACGTCCTTGCTTCCAGGTCATGTGCCGACTGTGAGGGTCACTGGTTGAAACAACTTTTCTTTAGAAGCTGGATCTCACACAGTTCGTCTTTCTGTCAAAATATAGCAATATCATTAGTCATAAACTTTGCCCAAAGTGGATAAAATTAGACAAGACAGTTCTCAAGATTAATGATTCTATCATCCAAAATTGGCTTCCACAGGATATACTACTTGGGTGACATTGCTGCAATGAATTGTATCACTATGTTTTGCAGACCATTGTGACATCATCAGTTACAATGACATCACTAATCACCCAGCCAATGAAGCTGGTTAGCTGTACCTTTCACACTGAAGACACTGATTATTGTTTTTTCCAAACTGAAAAAAGTTGGAAGAATGGTTTTGGATGATAAATAGATTCTCACCCTCATGCCTTTTGATATAAAATATATCAATACTTTTATCGACTCATGAAAATAGACAATTGGATGATATTATCCATTCTTTGCAACTGTTATTAAAGTCAATTCTTAAGCGTTTATGGAAGTATAAACATAAATACTGATATACATACTGTGTAAATCTGTACATTCCTTTTAAAAACATATGCAGTTTGTCTTCACTTGAAATGAGCACTAAGGTTCTGGATCAGCCACAGCCAACTACACAACTACACTCACCCTATCCATTTGGACTACAACAGCAGTCTGGCAGACGGTTCCTATATGGATGGTGGTCTGGAACCCCACAGAGATACGACTAGAGTGGAACAGCACATAAATGTCAGCCTCAAACTCTCGACAGGCATACCGCTCCGAGTCCGGACTCACTAGCACCATCCCCTGCAAGATACACAAACGATTGTCCCTTATTAACACTGTACAGTGAAAACTCACTCATCTGAGATGAGTCAAGAATTGTTTTGTATGCAGGTGGATAACATTGGATCTGAAGGTATTTTGTCAATACCAACTGATCTGAAGGTAGTTTGCAAATAACATTTTGTCTGAAGGTAGATTGCCAACACCCACTGATCTAAAGGTCGACGACAACATGGACTCACTTTTCTCAGCTGCTCCTTCTCGACATCTTGAAGTGCAACTGTTGCCGTCTGTCCTGCTTGGATCAGTCGGCATGGCAACCGGTTTCGGTGAACTGTTCGGACTTTGACCTCACGAAAATCTCCGTTGTCAGATGGTCCTAACAAAACCATATCTCCTTCTCGTATAGATCCTCTATGAGACAAAAGATTACCAGTTAGCAAACAAAACTAATCATTCTAATGATCTCAACAGCATGTACAATACAGAAAATAAAACTAATAGTTCTTCCACTAAGCATATGAAACAGTTAAACAGTTACGTGATCCCTTATGCGAAACATTTCTGGATAATATACTCAACAACTAAAGTTCCTGTGACACCAATATTTTAGTGTATTTTTCAAACAAGTAAAGTTTGGTTTTCAATATTGTAGTACATGTATGGAATCAAGTCACAAAAACGCAACTGCTACGGAAAAGCATGCATTCCCTGCCCCATGCATTTCACTACCCAAGAATGGGTATAAAAACATGTGTGTTAACGGGATTCCATATGCATTCTTTAGCATCGTACTGACAACAACCACTCAGAAAAACAACAAAATTAAGCAATTATTCAACATTATGAAATGCCACGCCTGTCCGAAAATGAGCGTCTGTGAGCCATTGGTATGCTTGAAGCAGGATCGAGTCAACGTGATGTTGCAAGACAATTTAAGGTCCACAGAAACACCATTTGGTGTTTATGGCAACGTTGGCAACAGACGAATGCAGTCAGAGACCATCCTCTGAGTGGCAGGCCACGCATAATCAGTAATCGACAAGATTCGAATAACACACCTACGAAATCGATTCCAGCCAGCAACAGTGACTGCAAGAAGCATCCCTGGCCTTCGACGGATATCTTCACAAACCGTACGTCGTCACCTCAGATATGCAGGGATTGTCACCAGAAGACCGCCAGACGTCCCATTTTGACAGGAAACCACGTCTACAGTAGTGCAGACAGCGTCTACAAGGGGACAAGTTCTATTCACTGACGAGTCTCCTTTTCACCTCAGCCACAGCGATGGACGGATTCGAGTGTACTGACATCGAGGTGAACGTTACATCAATCATTGTGTCATGGAAGAAGATCGGTTCGGGGGCGGCAGCGTTATGGTATAGGGTGGGATTACAGCAAGACAGAGGACCCGTTTGATAGTGGTAGAGGGACATCTCAATGGACAGCGCTACCGCTACGAGATCATCGGCCCTGTTGTTCTGTTTGCGTCGTCATGGCCCAGGCATTACTTTTCAACATGACAACACCCGGCCTCATATTGCTTGACTTGTTCAGGATTATCTTCAACAAAACACCGTGAATGTCATCCCCTGGCCGGCTCGCTCCCCTGATCTCTCACCAATCGAGCACATGTGGGATGAGATGGATCAGCATCTTCGATGTCAACTACGTATTCCACACACACTCCAGGAACTTCAAAACATGCTCCAGCAGATATGGACAGATATCCGACAGGACTTTGTGCGACGCCTGGTCCATTCCATGAGATGAAGATGTATTGCTTGCATCGCAACCAGAGGTGGACACACAGGCTATTGATTTGTACATTGACATTTTGGCATGTTCAATTTTTTAATGAAATCACGCATTTTCTGAAGTCAGTATGGCAAATTAAACCATTTGAACACTTACAGAAGTCTTTTATCTGTGGCAAACCGAAATTGTTTCAGATTTGGTAAAAAAACATAACTTTCCATTAAATCTTATTTAATGTCACAGGAACTTTTGTTGTTCAGTATATAAGCTTCTGAATCCTAATTTTCTTAATAGAACATAAATGTTAGCAAAGACAAGAAGCAAGTATGCATATGACACAATGTTTTGACCCACCTCAATATAGTTCCACCTACAACGCCTCCAACACCAGGCACTGAGAATCGGTCATCAATCTAGAATCCAACACAGGTGGTGTTACAACCACATCATTAACAAGCAGTGAGAGAAGGAGAAAGGCCGAACACTGGTTAGTGTATCCATGTTAGCATGTTTCAGAAAATCTCTGACGTTTGTCTTAAGAAAAAAGTGCTCTCTTAATTTTGGGAATGGAAAAACAAAAACAAACAATCCATGCCATCAGGATATGATACAGCCAGGTCGTACATTGAAACACCAAGATCCAAATATTAGTCTGCTCTTATGACATGCATTTGGTACCAGGTGGGATCTATTCAGTAATTCTTCCCCATTTCTGGTGTCCCCCGCCGTGATATTGCTGGAATATTGCTAAGAGCGGCGTAAAACCATACTCACTCACTCACTCTTAATCAGATTCAGAATTACATGGAAAGGCAACAGTGATGAATCTATGGCTGCAAAAACAATGACTCACCTGGAATTCTGTGCTGTCCTGGGCCAGCCTTTCACGATCTTTGCGACTCCTGAGTGGAGGCAGGACGTTGAGGAATATCTTCAAGAGATCCAGATTCTTCCCTGTTACACTTGAGATGGTAAATATAGGCGTGATCCTGTTCACAAACATAATAGTTGTCATTCAGTGCCAATTGTCAGAGTGGTTTGAACGTGACAGAATACATAATGTTGTCAAAGAGATATTTCATTTTTAAGTCACCACAAGTGGGTTTAAAAACTGCAAGGGGGAATAGGCAAACATGAGATTAGTTTCAGCACATTTAACCAACACACTAGGTGTGGGATGAGTCACTAATACATTGTTGTTTCATGATCAGCTTGTATCTTAACATGTGTAATATCGTCACCTCAAAATTGTATAGTATTGTACATACTTTTATCATTCCAGACCTACTATACACCATGATAGACAAGAAAAAATATCCAGGTCACAGGTAGGACTCCAAGGTGGTATTTTAACATACACATGCTACAGCTAACACCTATTTCTAAATTATAACAGTTTGCCTATATGCGAGTTCTGAGCAAAACTGTTTTTATCCCAGTCTGAAACCTGATAGGAGTAAAGTTTCTTCTGGTATATTTATCCAGTAGATCTGCCCATATACTAAGACATTATACTAAAATAATGCCCAATAAGGCCTACATATTCAGGCAAGTCGACTCAACTGTTTTTGCTATCCTGTACCTGGAGAACATAAAAACTCATTTGGAAGCAATGTGGTTAGCCTTGTTTACACAGTAGAGGATTCATAGGCTATTTTTTACTCACTTTTCAGTGTCAAAGTTTGATGCACAAGTGATGGCATCATCATCACTCTGGATCCTGACAGGTATTTTCTTACAACCAGGGGACTTGAGTATCTTCTCGAGCTGTTTCACAGTGCGCTCTGTCAGGATGTGACGACACTGGTCCACCTTGCTGACAACCACAAACACAGGCACACCCAGTGCAAGTGCAAACCCTAGGTGTTCCTTTGTAGTACCAGCTGATACAAAATGGGAACATTTTATGTTTAGAAATAATAAAGAAATAGTTAAAGTCTAAGCAGACATTGCAGAGTACTCCATGTATGTCATTTTCTTAATAGAATATTGTCATACTCCTGCAGTATTGGAATCTAGAGACCCCTAACCATTTAACCTTTACCATTAAGGTAATGACAGGATCTGTGAATTCAACAGGCATCATGTTAATTATATACCTTCATTAGCTGGTAAATTGTTAAATGTTAACATACATGTAGTTAAGACATACAATATGTGGGGTGGCTGAAAAGTCCAACTATGAGAGAGGAGACATTAGTTGTTTCTTTGCTTTGACTGTTCTTTAGTCTTTAGTTGATAGCGGTGAACACATGCTAAACCAAAAACAAAATTAGTTGCCTTAATGTATACAGATGAAAAGCATGGTTAGCCCAGGGCCCACTTGTACAAAGCAATCTTTGCATTTTGAAATAATGTAACTTTATGTTTAGAAAGGGAGTTACGATCGTCCTAACAGTAAGATCACTTACAGATAAACATTTGTTAAACTGGGAACTGTATCTGAACTGGATTACATGGTTTCACATTATCTGCCATTTGACCATGATGATGATGCCAAATAAATACTCACTGATTCCCGTGGTGGCACTGACCATGAGCATGGCAAAGTCTGGGGAGTTCCCGGTCAGCCCAAATATGGTGGTTTTGAGGTACTTGTGGTGTCCGGCAAGATCAATGAGAGTGATCAACTTGGTGGACTTGTCACAGATTTCTTCTACAGACCTGGACCCACTATAGTTGACCATCTGAAGTCACATACAGGACACACTGACAACAATAGCAGTAAAACAATGCCAATCTATCGCTAAACTACAGTAACTTAGGAAGTAAATTACATTTTTGCAATATTTGTGGTTTTCTAGTATTGTTGCGCAATCAGAACCTTTGACATGATTAACTAGATCCTGATTAGAAAATGCAAAAATATGTAAAAACTGGTCCTGATGTACAGTCTCTTTTTATTTAAGTAAAAAACAACAAATCATGTCATGTTTTAATAAGTACTTTCATAAAAAAATAAAATGTTGTGCACTTTAAAGAACCATTTTATATTTCTTATTACCGTATATGACCTCAGATAAGCCGACCCCGAAGATAAGCCGAGGTATGAACTTGACCATTGAAATATGAAAGAACATGGTATGACCCGTAGATAAGTGAAAGGCCATGACACACCGCCAAGTCGGACAACACCCACACCTACAACTTGCAAGTGTTTGTGTAAACAACATAACAATACCAACCGGACCCTTTATTATCAGTGCTCATTTCCTTGTGTACCATGTTTCTTTTTAAACAGCAATCACAGTGTTCACTGTTTGTGACGTCACTGGAAACAGCTGATCACATGTTTTTGCAAATGGCAAACGGAATAACTCGCCTTTTGAGTTGTTTATTTGCCTCTTTCATTAAAGGTAGGTACTTGTTCACTATCAATTTATGAACTTTGCAAATTGTACGTAATAGCTACTGGCGATTTCATCTGTCGATCATATACCGTAAATCTTGAAATAAGCGAGAGTGTGAATTAAATGCGAAAAATGCGAGTTGTCTTTGCTCGCATTAATTAACTTCACATTTTTGTCTCCAAATGACTATCAACAATAAGACGGCCTCACTGCACAGTTTGGATAGTGGAAACACCAATTTGAATATAAACACAAACACATTTTTTTGAGCAGCAGTTGTAACAAGTATATAACAATGTCATTCAAATAATAGGAATTTCACAATGGGCATCCGGTGAGTTATCATTGCTGGGGTCAAGAGTTCTACCCACTCGTGCCAGTCAACAGAGTTAAACATATACAGAGCTCCAGATAAGCTTTTGGTGTTGTGGGTATTTTACCCATGCATTTTAAAATCATTGGGTATCAGTAATTCTATCTGCGTATTCAAATTTCTGTTACCCACTAGTTTTTACAGATATTTTTACAGGGTATTTAAGTTAAATATTTAAAAACACTATTCATCTAGTCCCTGCAAACTGGTGTCTTGTGGGTTCGAGAGCTTTATAGGACTAAAAAATACCACGATACTTCCACAAGAAAGTGTGATGGCAAATGATCATGATGTAACTGTCATCGTGGAGTTTGGCAAGGTTGACGGAATGCCCGTTTATAATTTCAAAATAAGTTGCTGATTTGATAATCGAATACAGAGGCAACTTCACAATATTTGATACGCTTGGATTATATTTTACTGCGTATTTCACGCAGATACGCAGCTTATCTGGAGCTCTGCATATAAACTGTGTGTTGTTTTAAGGAAAATACTGTTTATTGTTTTAACGGAAGTGCTCTACTCAGCGCTAATAAGCGGTGCTATTTGCTGTTTGATTGGATTAACGTAAGGATATATATCATTCCACTTGGGATGTGGTGGGGGGAGTCACATTGATATTGATTCGCATTTTTGGCTAGGGGTCAGCAGTCGTATTAATTTGGCGACCCATTAATTTCAAGATTTACAGTATCATGTCTGTGGACTATATTGTTAAATGCAAAGATCGTGGAGTTTATGAAGAGTGATAAAACCTTGGACATTAAATTGAAAACTTATGATCGGAAATAGTAACATGCACAAAAGTTATTGATAATGACCACATTGGTGTTTAATAATAACTTTATTGATCATTTATAACAATAATGGTTGTAGTTGTGGCAACTTCCAAACTTTCAGGAAGTTGTAATCTATCGGACCGTCATTCGGGCGATGTTTCTGACAGATCACAATCTGAAAATACTATCATGAAAGTGTATCCCGTGGATAAGCCAAACCCTGTCTACAGAAGGACAATTTACCTCCCCTGTGCTGTCGAAGCCAATAATCTCATGACTGATGCTTGATGTTCTCCCTGACTGTATTTCATGCAGATGACGAAACAGGTTGAGCCGCGCCCGTCCCCTCCCGTTATCCAGCTCTCCTTGAGTCAGGACCCCCAGCAGAGTACTCTTCCCAGCATCAACGTTTCCCAGCACAGCAAGACGCATGTCCAGAAACTGTGGTAGCAAAAGAAACTTGTGACAGTTTTAACAGGTGGAATAATCTCTTGAGGGTTTGATGAATCATGAAACTAAACACGAACTGTACAGAAAATGAACATACAATAGCTGCTTTCAATAGCTATTCTAGGAATCATAGCTAAAATGACATTTAAAGGGAAGTAAAGTCAACATAGCAACTTTACAGATTTTAATATTTTAGGGCATACTTGATTACAAATGCTTGACCAAAATGAAATAAAAAAAAACAGAAATAGTGCAATACAGATGATAAAAAACAACACGAAATCTTCCTCCAAAAAAAAGTTCTGCAAGTAAGGGGATTCCCCTTAGTGGAGGTTAAAACAGGTTTCCGGTGTGTCCCGTGCTGTGCAATTTCACTAATCATGACCATCGGTCCAACATCCAGTCTGCATGCTTCTGCCTCAGTGATACATTGTCTTTTTTTTGCCTGCCCATCCATTTGATACCATATCCACAACTTATGCCAGCTTAATAACAAACACTAAAGATGTCTTCAGTTGTTACACAGGGGATTTATCCCTGACAGGTATTTATTGTGTGGAGTAGGGCCAAGGGCAGCTGGTGTTTTATTACCTAAACATGCTAAACAGGTTGTTAGTAATAAAAACGCTAGTTATCGATTGTTAATTGTTCTAATTGGTTTGTTTTAAAAGCTGATAACAGAGCGTGTGATTTCAGCACTTTCACTTGAACATTTAAATGCTTTCTACGAATATTATATGGTGTGTGTGTGTGTGTGTGTGTGTGTGTGTGTGTGTTAGTATAATGTATTACATTAGTAATGTAACCAAATAAATAGTTATGTACAATCAACCAGGGAAAGGGCCTTCCTACATAAATGTATTCCTTGATGAGCAAAATGCAGTTTGTGATTTACCAATATATGCTAGGCATTGTTTTTAATGCATAGATTAAGATTGCTGTGTGTATTGTCTCATAAACTAAGCCGGCAGTAGCTGTACACACATTTCTTGGAATCTATGATTAAAATCAATGAAATAGATTACAAACATAATCCAGATATACAATGAACACTTTTTAAAACCATTCTTTCTAAGGGAAGTAACTCTAGTTCATTTCAAATTTTCCAGCCTCGCAATGTAGTTCTCAGAGTATGGATAAAAGGAATCCCACAATCCCTTGCGTCAGCAGCAACCAAACATGGCGACTTGAGTGAATTTAAAAGGTCATTCAAAAGGAAAACGAATAATAACATTATATTTTCAAGTTAACGTGACTGAAACATCAAACGAAACTGATAAACCTGTCATCCCAGAAACGAAACCAAAAGTCAAGAATGTTCAATCACATGAGTTTAAGGGGTCATGACATTGATTGGTGGCGAGACGACAAATCGTCAGATACAATGTTTTGTGATTTTTGCAGACACGCTGGTGTATCTTTTGCTTGAAATACTGGTTTTGTGAATGGTAGTCAGAAGTTTAAGTGGGAGAGTATGAGAGCACACAGTGATTCTCACCGACATAGAAAGTGTAATGACTATATCTTATGCAGTAGACAAAAACTGCCATATCTCAATCGGCTATTGTGCAACAATTTCGTGCACTGGATACAAAAACTGATCAGAAAAATGTGTAAGAACTGAAAATAAAATTCAACACGACATATTGCATTTGTAAAGATGAAATGGCATTTACAAAATTTAAACCATTGTTAGTACTACAGAAGCAGAATGTTCTCCCCATTACACAAATCTATGTCAATGACGTGTAATGTGCAGAAATGTTGTCAACAGTGGCAAGTACAATTAGAGAAGAAACATCCAATACATTAGATGAAGTCAATTACTTTTCATTGATGATAGATGGGTTGGTTGGTTGGTTGGTTGGTTGGTTGGTTGTTTAACGCCGCACTCAGCAATATTCCAGCTATATGACGGCGGTCTTTAAATAATTGAGTCTGGACCAGACAATCCATGGGGCTACAGACAGCTCAGTTTCAGAATATGATGTTATTTATGCAAGGATTGTACATAATGGTGTGCCTGAAAACAAGTTACTTGAACTTACACAACTTGAACATGCCCATGCTGATGGTGTGTTATCAGCTATTAAAGTTACACTTTCAGCCAATGACCAAGAACATTTTGAAAATAAACTTATTGGTTTTTGTGCTGAATGGGCATCTGTGAATGTTGGTCAGAGAATTGGTGTGGTTTCTAAACTCAGAGAAATTGCCCCTCATCAGCACTGATAAAACTTCAGAGAGAAAGTCCCATGGTTGAAGTTGTTAGTGATTGTCTCCATTTAATTTGGAAAACCTTCCACTTTAGTCCTAAGACTAATGGGAACTGAGAATGATCGGTGATAAGTTGGATGCTAGAATTTACAGCCCTACACCTATCAAAGCAACAAGATTCCACATGTAGACAGGGCTTTGAGATTGTTTCTTCAAGGTTAAAAAGGATGGGAATCTTGCCAGCGACAACGGTCATTGCACAGCAGTTTGTACTCATATGGAGAGCTTGGCAGCAACCAGCAAGAATGCTGATATAAACAGTAGAGGTAAATAAATCCACAAGCAAATGAAAACATTAAAGTTTGCAGCATTTGCTCATTTTATGGCTGACATGTTTGGAGAAATTGCATTACTCAGAAACTACAAACAAGAACACTTATACAGCCAAGTTCAGTGTCAGCTATTCAAGAGTGTATTGACACAATCAACAGTATGAAAGATCAACCGGTCCCTGCAGGACTTCATGAGAAATTTCAGCTGTTGGTAGAGGACCAAAGGAACCAGAACACTCCTACTTTGTTCCAAGGAGTAGAAATGACAGGTGATATCAGAAAGAAAATAGTTCATCTGCAATCAACACAACAGTTGACATTTGTATCAAAGAGCTGAATGCCAGGTTTCAGAACATTCTTGGCACAACCAAGGATTGTGATACCAGGAAGACAGTAGAAAGCTTTAACAATTTTCATCATGACACATGGCCCCAATCAAAGAAGGATTTGCTAGGTTTTGGCATACAGGAAATTGAAACACTTTGTAAGTGGTTTGAGAGGCCTTTCAAAGCAGGCTGCTGACACCTTGATGCCATACAAACTGAATGGAGAAAGCTCAAAGTACTGGCCTCAAATTGTTTCAAAGAAAAGTCCTACCTCGACTTGTGGCAAGTGTTGCAGAACAAGGAACCCTATAAAACTGAACTGAAAAAAATTCTGCTCCTAGTTGAAATTATGTCAGTACTTCCAATAAGCTCAGCAGAGCATGAGAGATCCTTTTCAGCACAGAAGAGGATAAAAATCAGATTTTAGGAGCAGTATGTCTGTTGAAAGGTAATCAGATCTAATTCTGATAAGTTGTGAAGGTCCTGAACTTGCAGAATCTGAGTCTGTGACCAAATTGCTGTCCCGTGGGAAGACGAGGTTTCCTTCCACCCAGACAACAGCATGTTCCCAAGACATTGTTTCTGTCAATTCTGAGCAGTTTCTTTAGAGGTAGTAAGTCTGCTCAGAAGCTAACTTAGTACAAGGAAACCAGAGACAATAATTGAACTTTCAATTGACATGTCAAGATGAATCAGTGACAAGTTAAATTAAGTCAATTTCACTGACATTTTGATTTTCTCAATCTTTCAAGCGTGGATAGATGCTCATGATATCAATCACTGGATTGTCTGGTCCAGACTCAATTATTTACAGACCGCTGTCATAGCTGGAATATTGCTGAGTGCAGCGTTAAACAACAAACAAACCAAACAAAATTTAAGTACGGATTTGTTGACATGGTATTTCCAGTGTTACGTGCTTACAGTAATGTCTTTGAGTTGTGGAAAAAAACATCAAAACTCTTCAACCTTGTGTATAAAACTAACCCCCTTAAAACCCCCCTAATTTACAGGTATGAAAATCTTACCTTATACACAGCAACATACGGTATATAAATATGCAATTTATACAAAAAATTCCAAATTTTTAAACTTATCCTTTTATCCCACGGTTGGATGGTGGGCCGCAGATACCCTAGCCTGTTTAGACTACAAATGTGAGATATACTAGATCTAGACAGTGTAATTTCAAATTTGTTCAAAAATTTAAAACAGTTATTGTGCCAACACCAACATCTGAACTTGTGGAGCCCTTGTACATCTGTGACTGAGATGTCGCGAAGGTATGGAGACGCTAAAAATGTATTGGACTACCAAAAGCACCTTCAATGACAGCGAAAGGGTGCATTTACTGTGTAGAGTAATGGTAGAAGCAAACACTCGAGGATTGGGCTTAGTGATGGAGGTATGCGTTTTAAGGATGATGGAGTGGAGCCAGAAGGATACAAGAAATTTCCAATGTATAAGCAGTTTACAACTGGATGAAAAATCTCTTCCCACGTCTGTGGGGGCAAGACACATATATTCAAAGCCCTCATGCAGGGCACAGGGAGAGGTCTTCTTGCTCATTCGATCCCAAGATAGATGAGAGTGGGGAAATCGTAAATATTTGGTCTGGTTGGCCGGGAAGGCACTGGAACTTCTGGAAACTGGACCCTGGTGACATCCAAAGCATGAATTTCGCTAACATGGGCTGCAGTGGCCAGAGCCAAAAGAAAGACGATTTTCAGCGTGACTATCTCTAACCAGTGGCTCATATTCACAGGAAACCAGCTGTTGAAGAATAACGTTCAGGTTCAACGAAGGGGGACGAAAACGGGCGGGTTTGGTCTGCTAATTTGTAGGAATGGGTGGGCGACTGTAATTTTGCAACCATGGAAACCTTTGCCCCTGAAGTGGTGGCAAGGACAGAGTTGATAGCTGCCAGGAAGGTGGCTAACATGGATCCCTTAAGTTTCCAGGTTAAACGCAGGCAATGTAAATACTCGGCGAATTGCTGATGTGAGGCTGAAGTAGGAGTTGAAATATCACGAGCATGACAAAAAGTTCCAAAGGCTGTCCACTTGTGGTCATAAAGGCACATGGTAGATGAACGATGGGCTGCAGTTATGGTCTTCGCTACCTGCTAGGAGTAGCCTCTGGAAAAAAGAGACGGAATAGATGGAGCCACTGAGAGTCAGGCTGAAGAAGTAGGTCGTCGCAAAGCAGAAGACAATGGAATCGTTGGTCGGCGAGCCTTAGCAGGGTGGTGAACCAATTGCGAATTTGTCAATAGGGCGTGACCAAAATCAGAAAGGATTTGTGGATGTTACCTTCTGCAGGATCTGGGGAAGGATCCCAGTCAATGGAAAGGCATAGGCAGTGAGACCTTCCCACAAAATTGCCAATGCATTGTGATCCCAAGCCAGAGGATCAGGAATAGGCGATACGAGTCAGGATTACTGAGCATTGAGTGAGTGAGTGAGTACTGTTTTTACGCCTCTTTTAGCAATATTCCAGCAATATCATGACGGGGAACACCAGAAATGGGCTTCCCCCATTGTAGCCATGTTGGGATTTGAACCAGGTTCTTCGGCGTGACGAGCGAACGCTTTAACCACTAGGCTACCCGACTGCCCCGAACATTGAAGAAGTCTACTTCTGGGGCCCGATAAAGTTCAAATCCATTGGAACAATGTTGGATGAACAAGTCTGTTATTGATGTTAGAGACTCCTGGAATGTGCCTGCCTGTCTGTAACGGGAATGGCTGGAGGCAGTAGTTTCCAGTCATGTCATAGTGAAAAGGAGTCAGGAAGGTTCACCGAAGCTCTTGGGTCCGGTAGAGGAGACAGACTGTACTGTGAAGGGTCTCGTTAAGGTTGTCCTCTTCCACGTCCACGAATGGGATTAGGTCGAGAGGAGAGAAGTTTTTGAAGATCACGCTGGGCAGGAGAACTGTGGATAGATCCACTCTTTCTTCTCCTGATCTTCCAATTGTCTCTTCTAGAAGGGCAAAAGGTCCACAGTGACCTGGAGGCTAGAGTCTCTCTGTACATCTTGAGCAACCTGCTGGATCGCATCTGCAACCAGGGTTGAAAGACCAGGGCAGTTGATAAAGCTTCGCCTAGAACTGATTGTCCAAGGTAGTGTTGTAGTACTCCACAACGATGAAGAGCCAGAATGGTGAGAGAGGAGGTCAAGGATCTGTGGGAACTTATCAAAATCCGAGGAGGATGGCAATGAGTGATGGTCAAGCACACTGGGTGATTGTAAGCTGTCAGCTGTTGGATCCTGTTGATTACTCCCGAGTTGGTGGTTACCAAAACTGGAGACGCATCTGTAGGCTGGGAAGTCGACAGAGTTCCCGAACGTTGAAGTAAGACAGAAGAGATGGTTTTCATGAAGGAGTCAAAAGAGGGTTCAGTACTCTGCTGGTGATCCCAACTCGTGGGTAAGATAGGTGGACTAGGTTCCCGAGGAGCTGACCTAGTTGGAATGCGATCCAGTGATCTGTAAACTGAAAGAGATCAGAAGTTCCTGTTCCCCATGTGTTGACGAATTACGATCTTTAGATATAGGAGAAGGTCGTGGGTTGTTGTCACATAAGCAATAAACCGGGTTAACTCTTTCAACACCAGTCAACCAGAAGTGTTTACTGCTGGGACACCGAGTTCCCAGAGGCTCTAGTGTGATAGATGAAGCCAACATTTATCCAAGAAAATACCTGCTTGTAAAATATAATTGCTACTACATGTTATACACCATTTGAAAGGTCTGATCCTATGGTTTATAAATATGAAAGTTATGTTTTTCACATTATATAAAATAATGCATTTACAACTTAATTAAATTCGTTGTAAATAAAAAATGTACGCTAACACGTTGTTAACATCCAGATTAAGGACCAAGGAAGCGAAAACTTGACGATTTTCGGCAAATATATGATTTCATAATATCCACGTACCTATTTCTATTTTATTTTTATTGTTTACGTTATTGGAAAATCATTTTAAAAAGAATTATAATATAGTCTCTGTCATCACCCATTTCCCGATAACAGCGACTGTCCGCTCAGTAAAATGAAGAAATACCCCCGTTTTCGAGGTTTCGTATGAATAACACGTTCGTCGAAGAATGGCATATGACACATCGCTGGAAAGCTTATTCCTTCATCTACACGCTCGTAACATCGACTGGTTTTTTTCCGTAGTTATAACAAGCGATTTCATTGGATTAAAATTGGTTTCTAATGACGCTTTCTTGCTGAAATCTGCTACAAGTTTCGTGATTGGTCAATTTTGAGCACGTGACCTAAGACAGCCAATCAAATTACAGCTGTGATACCAAGCTCGTGTTCGATAAATTACAGAAGTTTGCGAAAGAATTTTGTTAAATCGTGTTATTCTGAACATTTTGAGCAGGAAATCACGATATATATTAAAAATATGGAACTTCGTGAATGTATCGTGCTAGGTTACGAGCTGTGACAAAGATTTTTCATGCATATATTTTTGCATTAAACATCGTGTCCGAGCTGAGAATTCAAGGCGACGAAAGCCGAGATGTCATTTGACTTACATTACACGCGATCGCACGAAAAGATGAAAATAATAACTTAGATGTAAGTTTGATTACTTTTAGATATATTTTTGTTGATTTTATATATTACTTTGTATAATATATTTAAAGATTTGTTTAAAACGTCTTTATTTTCCTCTTTGACGTGTTCAATGTGGACCCCTTGTCGAAATGTGTGTCCGAGAATTTTATTTTCAATAACATCGCGGGAAATAGTGAATAATTTTTTAATTTAACGATAAAAAATGTTAAATTGAAATGGAATATGTATTTCAGACATTGTGAAATGTGATAGATTTAATAAATGAATGATATTACAGGTAGGTCCATAAAAATATAGTACTATTTTGACGTGACTACGGCTTGGCCGGATAACCGGCCTGCGGTGTCTGGGGACTCGATGCTTCTTGGTCGGATAACCGGCCTACGGTGTTGAAAGAGTTAAGCATCCAATCCCTGTCTACGATTCACATAGGTATCGACTACAGGATGGTTTCCATAGTTTTAACTGGCATGTTGATAATCAACAGAGGAAGACCGATTCCTGTCGTAGATAGAACTTCCTAAGGGCGAGAGAGCCGAGGATCTGTCATACGAAGTGGACCAAGAACGTGAGTCACAGCAATCGCGGTACAGATGTTTCTTATAGGAGGTCGAATAAGTGCGTCGGCATTCTTTAAATGCTGGTTGTTGTCTGTCCTTTTAGCCCAAGTTTGTAGGCTGTGTAATTCTTCACAGAACTTGGCAGCAGGACAAACAAACTTCTCTTCGATGGAAAAACACGTCACCACAGAGTGTCGAGAAGAATGAGAATGAGTTGGCACAGGTATGCAGTGAGTTTGAGCAGGCTTGCTGTGCACAGGCAACATGCAATTGTTCTAGCTACTGGACATAACCATGGAGATGCAGGGGGTGTTCGGGTGAATGTTTCTATTTTAGAAGCTTGAAACATGGTTAAAGCACATTTCCCATAGGATCGAAGAAGGAAGAAATGCAAAGTGTGAGCATAAGTTTAAAAATAAAATGTTTTGCAAATTTGCAAACAGAAAAACAAGCACACTCCTACTGATGGCATGACCATAACACGAGATGAGCAGTAAAGCAATGCGCATATAAAGGGAAGTAACTGCATGCTATATTTGATAGAAATATTTTTCAGTATTGTTGCATTTCACTGCCGGCTGGTCATGTGTATCAATTTTTTGTTTGTTTTGAAAATGGATATAAAAAACAAAATGTGAGCCAGAAGTTATGATAATGTAGTGGTGCCTGAGAACCAAGATTGTTTTTTTTAGCCTGAAATAGGAACATTAATATTTCACACAAAAAAGTCTTACTTGAAGTAATTTAACAGAAATATGAGCCACATCTTCAAAAGGTGAGTGCAAAAGTTTTATTTGGAAACTGACCTCTTGATCATCTGGAACTTTCCTGACAAGTATCTCTAATGCCCTTCGTCGTATACAGTCCTCACCGTCCCCCTCTACCGTTCGCTCACGAAGCACAGATAGGGATGCACCGAGTCTAAAAAACACAGCAGATACTCAACAATCAACCATGTTTTTAAAACACATTTAAACACTTGTCAGATACAACAATCAATCCAACCTTCCTTCTGAGTTAAATCCAGCCATGAACACTCAATCATAATTACAAAGGGAGTAAACTTTACAAACCAAAGCTATATTCTATTCTACTCTAAACTGTTTGACAATAAATGTAACTGTACATTTTAAGGTCTTTCTCATAGTATTAATTGCTTGAACCCAATCAAATTCCTGTGATTGGGCACAACTTTCTCAAACTTGCTTTAGCACTGTGAAACTGTTCTCAAATATTCTTATAAGTGTCTAAAACCCTAGCTTGGCAAAACACTAAATTACTCCTGATTTTCTTTTGAAACATAGAAAGAAAAGAATAACAAATTACTGAGATGCTAATTGCTTATTTCTGATAACTGTTACATTTCCTTGTGGGCCAAAATGACTTTATACTTGGCTACCTACAGCTCACATATCACACAGGTGTTTTGTTGAGAGTAAGCATCAGAAAGCAAACATTCCTCAGTCAGCCACACTAGGGAAGGCCTGATGATCGGCCTATGCATGTGACTTATCATCTGACCATGAACAAGGTTAGAAATAACATAAGTCTGCTTATCTGACACTAGTAAAATTCAGGACAGACAAGTGACATTTCCTTGTAGACAAACCATTAGGTAGAAGGCAACACATTAGCAGATCATTCTTGCAGACTATTGAAAGATATATAAATGTCTAACCCTGACTATTAAGACACCATTAAAATGACATGATGAATGGTGTAGCCTCACAACATGTACCAGTTAGGAGAACGCAATGATAAATACAAACATCACAAACTAGTCCTAAAGTATTCATTACATCATTTGCAGTAGATTATAACTTGTTATTATATCATGCTATATATGTTATTATTCATGTTATTAGCTCTATGGAAAAGACTAAACAAAAGTTTACTGGACCATTTGTAGACTCAGGCTTTGGACCAGTCATGCTAGGCTGTGAACATTAGCAACCATCATAGCCTCTCCTATCAACATGACAAACAAACATGTGCATCTCTGAGGCCTTATACTCTGATGAACATGTTACTGTCATACCTCACAGCCATCCGCTTGAGTGTGTTGACCGACGCCCCAAGTTCCACATCCGGCAGGCCCGCCATCATGCCATTGTCCTCCACCCCCAACTCATAGATGGCCTCCCCTTCTCCCTCCTCCAGACGCCATTTCATCTGCGTTACAAGGTGCTCGAACCGGAAGTCTGATGGGTTCACCAGTTTCAGCTGAATTTAACAGACATGCATTTTGACATTTGAAAACAACCTTCGGTATTTGGTTTGACAAAAAGGAAACTGCCTTGATATACTGTAAATCTTGAAATTAATGCAAAAAATGTGAGTGGTCTTTGTTCACATTAATGAAACTTTGCATTTATGTCTCCAAAATGACTATCAACAATAAGACGGCCCCACTACACACTTTGGATAGCAGAAATGCCATCTGAATATAAACACAAACATGGTTTATTAAGCATCACTTACTATTGGAGATTTAACATGCGCTTTCCGACATTATGCATATTTTGTACACGGGCCAGCCAGGCATTTTAGTAAGACTGCAACACTGGTGTTTCTAGTTGGTTGCAGAGTGGGCATTTACCTGTTTTGTGTTTCTTTTTATATGAAGATATGAGTTTAGTTTTGCGTGACTTGTTTGTAGTTTAATTATTGCCCTGTCAGTATTTTTGGATTTATGATGTCTTTGCTTTTTTGAGTGGCTTTTAGAGCATATGTTTTAGTTTAGAGTTTGAGTTTTGGTAGTTATTCTGCCACTTTTGCTATGTGCATGTGATTATTTTCAAGGTTTGTTTTTGAAATTGGATGGGATTATTTTTTGGAGGAAGTTTAGGGATGTTTGCGCGCATTTTTATGTTTGAATACTATTGTTTTGGGGGCATTTAATGAGAACCCCCATTTATTTGCCCATTTTTGAACTTTGTTTAGTGCCTGTTGCAGTAATTTTTGGGCCATGTACATGCTTCTGGTGCAGAACTAGAGGGCTCCATCATCCGCAAATTTTGATGTCTTAACTTTATGGGATATTCGCTCGAACAGGTCGTTTATCATTCTGTTGAAGAGTGTTGGGCTTAGGATACTGCCTTGAGGTGTTCAATTTTCTTGGGGACACTGGTCCGATAGCGTTTGGTCTATACCCACGGTTATTTTGTGGTTTGTTAGGAAATCCTATATATAGTTTATTATTTGGCCATTTAGCCCTATTTTGGGAGGAGTTTTTGTATTAACCTGTTGTGTCAAACCATATCAAATGCTTTGGAGATACTAGGATATGCATATTGTGTATTGGCGGGCCAGTTGGCCAGCTTTGATATCTTGCTCCAGGTGTGCAAGGTTATCTAGGTCCTGGGGTGAAGCCGCTTTGGTCCTGGTTTATTATCATGATTATATTGTTTTGGTCTAAGTAATGCTGCAGCCGGTTTTAAACCATTGCCTCCATAGTTTTGCATAGATTAGAGATTAAGGAGATTGGTCTATACGAGTTTATTGAGCAGCAGTTGTAACAAGTAAGTAACAGTCCTTCAAAGAACAGGAATAACATGATAGGCATGCAGTGAGTTATCACCCTGGGGTCAAGAGTTCTACCTACTAGTGTCAAACTAGGCATCATTGACCCCTCATACAGGCCAGATGGAGATGCCACCCTTGCAACACTTTGTCAAAGGCTGATACGACCCAGTGTGCACCGTTCTTCACACTCCTCAAAATAGCCTTTTTGCATTCAAGCAGTGCTATTTGCTGTTTGATTGGATTAAGGTAAGGATATGCATCATTTCACTGGGGATGGGGGGAGGGGGAGTCGCATTGATATTGAGTTGTTTGGCTAGGGGTTAACAGTCTTATCAATTTGGAGATGCATTAATTTCAAGATTTACAGTCTGTATTTACAGTATTAGTCTTATCAACATATTATCAGTACAACCTTTTTAGTTGTTCATTTGTAATGTAAGCATATGACATCATGCACTGTATCACAATGTCATTCCAGAGTGACGTCATGTCTGTATTACAACTGGGTGACAGAGATTTCACAGAAACAGCAAGTGCTACAGACAATTACTGATACATTCTGTGTTTAAGAATGTTGATAAAGTCTGTTCTCAGATTTGAGGGTATTATTCAGCATGTTCAGTATTTTGACCTTTGAATGAAATGAAATTTTGTCCATCCAATACTCAAAAGTCCATGTGAAGAAAAATGTAGTCCACCTTCTGGCGTCATGACCTTTGAAGTTCACCATGAGCTACTAGTAATACACAATTCATTTGTCACTGTCTGTTTATCATTGCATATATGTACATATCTACATGATGTAAGTATGGTAAGTTATAACGTTAGCACATTTGGGAGAGACTATAGCCATGATTGTACACCTCAAAGTTCAATTTTCCCTTGGAGAGCCATCTGGCTCCTTGTGTTATTTTCCTGGAAGCAAACGTAATAATTTAGAAGCCAAGGTTACCATAACATGTATAATGAGCATGATGAGATGATGCAATGAGCCTGATCAGACCTGACCATGATAAACATACTTCTGCACCATAAGCAGTGAGTGCAATGAAAAATATATGAACACAGTACATGTGTGGTCAGATGTGACTTGATGAGACACTGTTTCAAAAGTCAGTGATGAATACACCTGAATTTATCTACTTACACTGAATTCATCCACCTACAGCTAGTCAACCGCAACTTTGCCTAATCATGCTAATGTTACAGATATTCTCAAGGCTGGCAGTATTTGGATCATTTTAAAGGTTTTATAATTAGAGTGAGTGAGTGACCATGGTGAGTGAGTTGGGTTTGATGCTGTTTTGAACAGTATTCCAGTTAGATCACAGCATATATAGCTTGTTGTGTGAGCCCAAGTGATGTAGGTCTTATACATTTACCACTTTGGTGAAATCCATGAGACCGAAAAACTTAAAATACATTCTCTTTGTAGATTTCTACATAAAATGTATTGCCACACTTCCCTTGAATATTGTAGTAACCATGGTAACCGCAACCTTACATTTTCTAACTATTATTGCAGACATAATTATTTAAATATGCCTGATGACTGAAAAAAGTACTATTCTATGAATATTAAATTATTAGCTTCCGTGGTGATGTGGTCACACACCAGCTGTTTCAATCAGTGCTGGTTTATTGTGATTTAGATTCAGAACTCAGTAATTCCGAAATCATGGACATCAGTCTCAGTAGAACAAGTACATGGAGTTTCTAGCTGTCAATGGGCCTTACAAAACACCTTCACCAGCTTTTACTTGTGTGACGTGTAGCCAGATTTACAGGGCATATATTCCCTTGGTCTGGTTGTCGCGGGGCAAACTATCGTCCACCAATAGTTTAACCCCTTATATCGAAAAAAAGCTGGGGGCGTGTGGATCAGACATGAGCAGCATCAGAGGGTGAGTACTCCCTTGATTATTCTGTCTAGGTATAGGATGGATCAGAAGCACCAAAAATTTTAGACCGGAAACAGCAAGCCAACATCGACACCCTTTCACCAGTTCCAACATGCAAGACCCTGCTAAGAGCCAACGGCAGGAACACAACAAAATTACAAAATTGATTGCAACTGAGACAATCTTTCATAGGTGAAACATGCCGACCAATCAATACCAGAATGAAAGAGCACAAAACCTCCACCATTAAATCCGACAGTAAATCAGCCATCTCGGACCGTATAAGCAACTGTCCTAATCACAACATCAACTGAGACAACGTCCAAATTCTCTCAAACAACCTCCATGATTTCACTAAAAGAAAACTAACAGAAGCTGTCCACATTCACTGCCACAAGCCATCAATCAACAGAGATCAAGGCTATTTCATCCCATCCGCCTGCTATGAACTCATCAAGCAATAATAATCACTTATCCTGTTTAATCATTTAATTGGCTTATGTCCCATTGGCATCCACCCATGTGTTCTCTGTCCATCGTGTTGTGACAGTGTCATCCCTTTGTTGTCAACACCTACCTATGTTATCCCACTCATGTATGCAATTGTTGTTACCGTTAACCCTCTACTGTTAATCCTCCACCTACCATATATATTCTGTACTATGTCCCTCATTCATTCTTGCTTGACAACGGTATAAGGATCTATACCCAAACGTCGCTTTTTACAGTATTAAAGAAGTTGTTATCCATAAAATTGTGTCTACCGTGTCATCCGTCAACTTGTAAGTAATGCCTATCAAACAATTTTTTACAGTATCATGTATTAAAGAAGTTGTTATCCATAAAATTGTGTCTACCTTGTCATCCGTCAACTTCTAAGTAATGCCTATCAAACACTTTTAATAAGAAATGATGTCATTAATCTGAAATAGGTTAGAAATGAGTTCAAATGACGTGACATCATTATCATGATCAAATATAACGGTAATTCTAGTGAAGATATCACATATTTGGCTGATTCTTGACACATTTCTGATTTTCAAGTCCTCAAGGGGAATTTCAGAGGAAGTATCTCAGTAGGATATGAATCAGTACATTATGGTAGGATCGCTGACAATTACACAGGGAGTTACTAGAGGCAGATCCCACCGGGTATATTCTGGCAGAGATGTAATAGAGGTAGAAGTTTTGCAAGAATTATCGAACAATAGTTGTCATTGTTAATAATTCTAAGAATACTACCTCTATTACATCCGAAGTACTCCCTCCCACCTCCCCAATTCATCTACCTCTAGTAGTGGCCTGTCCTCATTTCGCCTACACCTCATTTCGCCTTCACCCTTATCAAAACAAATTTACAGCTGACTGCACATAAGTCAAGTGCTGTGTTACCTCTAAAATAATGAACTGACCCAAAAGAAGGTTAAACAGACAAGACAATCTTGAAGCTTCATACATTGTTTAATAGCTGATATTTACATTATGCAGTAATAATAATAATGACTCATGATTACTGTAGCTTTAGTACATATCAAACGGCATCAAGAAATTGCATTACCGTTTTTCTTCCACTAAGAAGCTGTGTCTTTAGTCTTTCAATTCTCTCGTCCGTTTGTCTGTCAACACGAGCTCGGGGTTCAACAGTTCAACAATTGAGCAGACATCTAATTTCCTTTAATTAAACCAATACTAAGAACTAACCAATTTGTAACAATTACAAACAATGTGAGAAGCGATGATAGGCTTCTTTACACCTTAATTATTAAATAAGATTTATTTACTAAACAAGATTTACTTGCACATTCAAAACAACTAAGGATTAACAGAATGACCAAGTCAAACAAGAGTTGTGAGAAGTTGTCATAAGTTGTAAAAACTTCACTTTGAACCTCTACGCCGCTTGGATTAGATAAGAGCTTGGATTAGTTAACAGCCTGAGATGAACAATGCCCATTCATATAATGGGGGTGAGGCAATTAAGCATTTGAATTATTGTAGGCGAAATGAGGTGTAGGCGAAATGAGGTGAGGGCAAGCCCCAGTAGTAGATGTTGGAAAAAAGTGAGGTTGTCGCCATTATGTCATGGCTTGGGTAGTTATAAGACTACTTGGTGACAACTAGTTGTGTGTGTAATTGGCAGTGAAGAGGACGTCTGTTGAAAATCTGAAAATTTTAGTGAGCAGGCCACAAAGTTAAAAAAAATTCAAAGGAGCCACTTGGCTCCTAAATTATTTTTTCAAGGAGCCAAATAGAATTTCAAGGAGCCAAGGCAAAATGTAAGGAGCCAAAAGTAATGACTTGTAATTTAACTGAGCTTCTGCATAACAAAACACAAAAAAATCCATTGGTTTGAATGATCAGTTTTATATTCTGAACAACATTGTATCAGTAACATCATCAGAGCAGCAGCAGGAGTCACTGAAGGTACTGTCGCTGTAGGAGGTTTCCACTTCAAGTTCTGCTGGCCACTGTTTGTAAAGAGGGCGTCGTGGGCGTGTACTACACTTTATCCACCTGAGAACTGCTGGTTGTGGTGTGAAGTCTTGTAGGCTGGGTCCATCACCAGATATTCTTATGAGATCCTCCAGTGTCTCAACACCAAGGGATGATCTTGAGTCAGACTTTATGCGTTTCTGGGCTGAGAAGATGCGCTCACAGCTAGCAGATGTAACGGGAATAACCAGCATCACTTGGATTAGGTGAAGAAGATCCTGGAAAAATTAAATACAGAATAAATTCAAGACATAATAAAAAGATTGATTTCATCACTCAGACACTGCCAACAGATTACTGCTGGAAATACTTAACTCGTTATATTTTACCTTGAGATCAAGGCCTACCCAGTTGGTCAATGAAGTGACTATAGTTTTTCAGTTAATTTGTCAAATAAACCATTTACTTTAGTTACCTTTCAAACATTTTTGCAATTAAATGTTTCTTATTTACCTTAAAGTCTGTCTTGTATGGTTCCTTGGTGAGAAGTACTGCATAGAGACTGGTGTAGTTCTTGTCTTGAAACTCTGCGCTGACCAGCTGTTTGAAGAGTCTCCACTGGTGAATCACTGCATTCACATCACATCTGTTCCTGGTAATGAATAGATGATTAATTATCAGTTTTTAAACATCTACATATATTAACTAATTCTGTATCAAACATAAATAAGTATATAACAGCGTATTGTTTGTGTACTTTTGCAAAATCAACTGATGAACACCAACTTCCTTATTAACCTTTATGACAACAGTTAAAAGCAATTTCAGATTTAAAGCTAAACAAATATTAAAAATTAATTCAAACAAAAACCATACCTGATGAGTCTACTCCTGAACCATTCAATAAGGTACTGGAGTTGTTCTTCCCCATGAGATGAAAGCTCTGGTATGTTATCAGGCCATGTGTCTGGGTTGAAAATCTTGAAGCAGGCAACAGCCTTGGCAGCACCATCAGTAATGTCATCCCAGTGAGTACCTCCTAGAAGAGCCTTGAAACGGTCAGACAAACCCTCCGCTGTTTTTCTGGCTGAAACCTTGATGTCCCGAGAGAGAGTAAGTGGTAAGGTGTTCAAGTCTGTGTCAATTTCCTCTGGGGTCTTCTTCAGGATGACACCTTGTAGGGATACAACTTCATCAGACTGCTGCAAAGAAGCTGTCATCTTCAGAAATGCCTCTAAATGTCCCCCAGGCTGAACTCTAACATCCATGGTCTCAACTGCAGTGAGGCATGTCTGGATGGCTGCAACAGCGCTTGGAAGAATTGTTCTCTCGCTCTGTAGAAAAAGGCTCAACTTGGAGATGGTTGTCAACAGATCCAGAAGGAAATGACAAAATGCAGCAAATTTGAATGTCTCCAACCGCTTTAGCACAAATTTCGCCCTGCCCTGGACATTTGAATTCTTGCTCGTCACTGAAATATGTTCAGCATGTTGTGTTATCACTGCATACTTGCCACTGTCACTGAGAAGAATGGTCAAGGCTTTGGCAAGATGAGGGCACCATCTAAAAATAATTATTTTTTTTGAATTGACAGTAAGATAAATTAATAAATTTTAAATGCACTTTGAAATTAAAAATAAATAAATTTCATGAAAACATGCATTAATCATCTGATAATCTGATGTAAATAAATTTGGAGAATGAAACATGATGTTATAGATTAGCTTTTATTTTGAACATTAAAAAATGCTGAATTTGTAAGATACACTACATCAGTTGAAATATAACATAATTATCAGTATTATTGAAATTTACCTCGTCCCAGTTGCCCTGCTTGGATTTCTGGACTGAAATCCCAGTTGTTCTGCCATCATATGCAGCTCACGGCGGCTCTTACAGCTGTAATGGTAGGTCTTGTAAAGAAAATCCAACAGCCTCATGACCTCTGATGCACTCTCATTTGCCTTTATCATACCCATCACTGCAAGTTCAAGTCTGGAATGAAATATAAAATTATTTATTTAACTGAGTCATTACCAAACTCATGATGGCCACTTACCATGCTACCCTATTTAAAGACTTAGTTTTGAACGTTATTACAAGATAATTCCAAAATTGTTTGGTTATAATTTATGCAGGACTTGACAAATGTATTCATAATGATGCCTATTTGGACATTGTCAAATAAATTAATTTATTTGCAAACTGAAAGTATTTTAAGAAATTATCACATGATTTATTTTTGTAATAAGTTACTCTTACCTATGAGGTAAACACCAAATGCCAATCATCCAAGGACACTGTTGTCTAAGCTTGGCCTTGACCCCTCCAGTTTCTCCATGATTAACAGATGCCCCGTCAGCACAAAACGACACTAAATTCTCTTTGAAATTTTCCTGTTTCACTCTCATGAACTGGTCGGAGACCGCTTCTAGAATTCCATCTGCATGGGCATGTTTTAGCTCGGCAATACCTAAAAGTCTGTTCACAGGTTTACCATCCTTTATGATTCTGACAATGACAGCCTCTGTTTCTTTGATAGAGTTGTCAGTCGCACTGTCAAACATGACGGAGTAATATGGACATTCATTAATGCCTTCATCTCTGACGCAATTGTTGCCACAAATTCTGCGCACTTTACTTCATTTGCATAATCATAAGAGACATCAAGGCCATTCTTCTTTTGAAGAAGTAGTAAAGACCTAAACTTGGTGAAAGGCATTTCCTCCATTGCTAATGTGTAAGCAGTGTTCATTTTGATTATTAAATCATTCTTAATAACCTCAGACGTAATGCACTCTTGTTTCTGGAAACCCCGAATCACTGGTTTGGTCCTAGTTTGTTTATTCAAACAAATGTCTCTGCAGTACAGGTGTTTGGCACTTGTTGAATGTTTGATGATCGTTTCCTTCTTGAAGTGTGATGTACCCAAGACAAAATCGGTCTTTCCAGCACACATGGGATATGCTGAACAATGGCGACAACTCATAACATTCTTCTCTGAATCATATTTCAGCCACGAATATTTGAGCCATTTCTGTTTGAATGTTTGTTTTGGTTTATCCAACGCGTCGACAGCATTCCGCTTTTGGGGAGCGCAGTCGTCATTATCATTTGCCGATTGACGTTTTGTTGTTGTGGTTTTCGCAAATATGGAAAAATACTTCGGCGAAACGACCGCCATAGATGTCACCTGGGCGGATGTCGTACAGCGCATGCATGGATATTAAACTCTTAACATCGTTAGTGCATTACTTAATAACAAAAAGCGCTTCCTTCATCAAAGGTATGGAGCTTCATATCGAAAGCGGAAACAGTACACATGGCCTAGCAGTGAGTGATCTAGTCGATGTTATTATGTTTTGATATCGATTTTCTTCACTGAAGTTACCGCACTTATATTAAAAACGATCTTTTTTAATATCTTATGACAAGAGATATTTAGTCGCCAAACTTAATTAAAGGCAAGGAGCCAGTTGGCGACTGACATGAAAATACCAGTTGCAAAATACAAAACTAGATCGCCATGGTGACCCATTTAGTCGCAACTTTGTGGCCTGGTGAGTGTTACTGAAGCCAAAATACAGGATTGATGGCAGAGATGTAATTGAGGTAGTATTCTTAGAATTACTACAATGATAACTATTGTTTGATTATTGTATGTCAGTATTATCATGATCATACATCATGTAGATCATGTACATACACCATTTATACACATGATACAAAAAGTATGCACATGACTATGTCAGACAACGCTGGTACTCTGTTGTGTGGCAGTTGACATTATTCTGCACAGCCTGTAGCTGTGTGTTAACACCATACATCACTGTCAAACTGAGGAATGGGTCTTACCTTATACTCCACATTTCCTTCTTCTTCCTGAAACACAAGGAACACAACATCAAGAAACATGGACTTATATAAAAAAGCATGCACTGGGTTACATACATGTAGCACATCTTCAGGGGCATTCACCGGTACAACTCATTGGTACAACTTGTTGTATGCAATTAGTTGTACGAACTGAAGTTGTATACCACTCGGCATTCACAAGACGGCGAGTTGCATACAACTCAGGTCTCGAAAGATCTCTGACCTAAAGCTTGTGATTCACTACATTAACGCTGGAATCCTGAGCACTTGCTATGGCTCAGGTCAAAACATTCTAGTATATTTTTGTTTATGTGTATCTACAAAGTTCCTACACAGCTATCGATTTTGATAACCACATGGTTCCTTTTCTGGGACATTGAATGATTGTCATCCAAAATGTCCTGATGACATATTTCAGATTTTGTGATAATATAGACACGATAGAAGAATGACCTATAAAAATCCTGAAAGTGACCTCTGGCCAGTTGAAACCAGATACTTTAGGTTTTATCCCTGTTTATAAGAAACGTTGAAATCGGTACTACAAAAAAGTAACACAACCCCACACCCTACTCACCAACACACCCAAATCCCAGCAGACAATGGTTTGCTTCCCCCCATGAATCTCAAATGGTCGGCCCAACGCGCCTAATGCAATCTTCATGATCTTTAGCATGTTAAGAATCAATGTTCCGCCAATCAAACAATAAAATCCAAACATAAAAAAAATAGTTTTGTCCACACTTGTGTATACATTAATAAAAATTTAATGTGACAAATTTCATGCAGGTATGTATTTACTTTCTTATGAAGTGCAGTTTTTATTCAACTTATCTATATACATTTGCCATTATGTATATTTTACGATTCTCTGAAGGAAATGTATATATGCTGCGGTGTGTTACATTCACAAAGCATTTTATAGGAAACATAAAATATATATAAATTGAAGCAGTGCATTATTTTACTGGGTGAAAAGTTATTCAAGAGATATTCAAATTATAATTCAAGATTGAAAAATGAAATGAATGAACATGATGAATTGTGTACTAATTCACTCGCACCTCAAAGAAAATAACAAATATGTACAACAATGTTGCTATTGACGAATACTAATATGACATCACAGCTGGTAACCTCCATTCACAACATAGAGAGTTCACCAGGGATGTGAGCAGGTTTTCCCGAAAAAAAAGGAAAACTCTAGGGGGGGGGTCTATTTTAAGCAATTTCATGCAGTTTGGACAACATTCACACCAAGAAATGTAAAAAGTCAATGGCAAAGAGTCAAATAAACAAAGTTGGCGGATGCAGTAAAATTTCAAAGTTAAATCAGTACTTTTAAAAAATTGGGCATAGCTTCCCTGTACCCGGCTACCCTGGGAGCAATACTGCCATAAACTTCACCCCCTATCCCCCAGACGCAAGGACAACTGTCACAAGTGTGCAATGTCTGACCCTTTCCCCATGTTGAAGCATATTGAAAAACACTTACCTCATACTTAATTACCTTTCGTTAAAAAAAACCAAAACTCCATTTCAAAATAAGACATTATTACAACATATATCTCCGTGTTATGGGTTTTTGGTTCTTCTCCCTAATCACATGAACAACTGTAAAACATCTCATTCACTTATAGGCTAAAAGACAACTTCATCTTAAAACAAGCCATCTTCTGAGTATTTACAATTTCTGTGTGATGCCACATCCCACGTTATAGTGCAAGTATCCATTACACAAAAAGTATGATGTCTGAAAACCTGTGATACTGAAAGCTCTGATCGAAAACAGGACAATCCATGACGGTTGTCCAGTTTTCGATAACATTTTTTGGAGTGTTTTTTTTAAAAATCTTTGATTATATTTTTATGAGGAAGATGATTTTTTTCTGAGGACTACTGTTTAAAAAAACATGATTTTCCACGTTTCAGCGCAGATATCACATCCCTGGTTCAATGATAGCAGTACGAGGAATGTTCAGAGTAGGTTTTTCAGTGATGCAGGGATTGCATATTCACATAAATGAGTCATGTAAGTTAAGTAATCAGTAATCCATTCTAGCCTTCGATACTACATGGAAACGCAGACCAAAATCGTCGTCAGAGTGCGTGATTTGGAGTCACTCATGGCATCACGTGGAACGATTTCTGTTAACTTTTTCAAATAAGTATCTAGGCCCTAATTTTTTAATTCCTCAATTCTTGCAACGATTTAGACCTTAGGGCCTGTTTCGCTCACCTGGATATTTACTCAATCATGACAAAATATACATTTGCCTTGTACATGCATGTAATACTGTAAATATTTCTTAATTTTGACTTTGTCAGCATTTAAAAGGGGTGGAATGGCAAATCTGACAGCATGAACATGTATTACTCCAGAAACAAATGTAGCATAAAGATCTGAACCGTTTCCATGTTATGATCCAGGGCCTAGATTTTCAAAACGATCGTAGCCCTAAAATTATTGTTAAGTTATCGCAAGGAAATCAAAGGCTATAGTCACTTATTTTCGAAACTAGCGAGCCCTAAAATACCATAAGATTGTCGTAAATCTAAGATAGCTCCAAACCTGTCATAAGTTTATCTTATCTTCATCCAAAATGGCAGCATACTTAGCCATAGATATTTTTCAAACCAATAATCTGATTTACGTTTAAACATTGACATTTCATGTTGCTAAACTGTGTGATTCAAATTGACTTTTCGAAAACACAAAGAACATCAAAGATTTCATGTCAGAAGTTTCTTAATTGCAACAGCGATCCACATAACTATGGACTCGATAGCTTACAATATATTTCTATCCAAGTCCATGCTGAAGAAGTGAGAAACAACATACCTTTTCTATAATTTGGGAAGGATAAAAACGGAAGGTGTTGGCAGGCTATAGTAATGACCGTGACCTTATTGATAACCCAGGGGCAGCTAATCTTAGTTCAAACTTTAGTGGGGAGTGACTTCCCTTTGTATTCACCCGGCGAAACCTTGCTCAATGTTAATGTTTTCATAAAACGCAGAGTTCCGCTGGTATATTTTCTGGATTGCACTTGTGTCAAGTCTTGATTTTCGCATTATAAATTATCAATCTGAATATGTGATGAAGTGCAAAACCACTTCTCAGAAGTTTTTTACATCTAAATTGGTGTGTTTTAACAATTGAATTTGATTTAACAAGGAAATACATGTGATCAAATATGTGGTATATTTGTATAAAGAGTATATTTATTGTGTTTCTAGCAAAAGTATTTGTATTTTGTTTCATTTTAGAGTGAGTGAGTGAGTGATTGAGTGAGTTGGGTTTAACGCCGCTTTTAACAGTATTCCAGTTATATCACGGCGTGTCAGCTTAATGAGGGAGGAAAGCCCGAAGTGATGCAGGTCTCAGACGTTTACCACCTCGGTGAAACCCACGAGCACGAGTATGGTGCTGACAAACCTAGAAACATAATAGGGGCGAACCGGGATTCGAACCCACAATCATAGGTTTCTGGCGTGTCCAAGGGACACAACTCTGCACAGCGAATTGCGGCGCCTTAGACGACTGGGCCACCCGTGCCCCCGTTTCATTTTAGAAAAAACACCAAGGTTACCTATATCATTGAAAGACAAATATTTGATAACAAGTGATTTAATGTTGTCTGTTGAATAATTGCATTCTTTAAAATCAGGACCCGGTTGTATCAAACTTTAATGATGCATTAACGTGTCATTAAACCTTCACTAACTAATGTTTCATTAAATCCAGTTGTACTAACGTTTTAATGACGTTGTGTTGTCATGAGCGCGTCATTAACTTAATGAAGGTTCTAGGGCATCATAAGCGTGTCATTAAAAACAAACATGGTAGCAAACATATTGTTTGAACGCTTAGGACGCACAAGGAAAGACCGTGTTTTCAGAAAACGAACTCATCACCTCGAATCTATGAGCGATGAAGAAGTAAGGGCACGCTACCATTTTGGGAAGGCAAGCATCTGATATATCTGCGATCTTGTTAGAGATGAATTACGGCCCAAATCTGCAAGATCGCACACACTTATAGTCCGGAAGTTAATTTAAGGTACCGACGTTTACTACGATATCTGAAAAACTATTGGACCTACTCCAGTCAAAGTTGGTATGAGATTATTTAACGGTCATACATAACTGGATATTACATTTAAAGACAATTGGTGCATGAATAAAAAATCTGTCTATTTAGCTATCACTATATTTCATCAACAACCAGACCTGTTCGTCACGGGTGGAACGAGCATTCAAATTTGTTACCTGGCCGTTCGAGAGGGATATAGGCGACATTAGGAAGGAATTCTACAATAAATCTTGATTTCCTGGAGTCATCGGATGACCGGAAGTAACGGGTACGTGTTTACGTCAGGGAATTGTGGGATATATTAGATATTTTGCTCCTCAGACAGATTTTTAAATCAGACAAATCAGCTCTACTTAATTTAAAAAGATCGAAAAGGACCCTTAAGGCGGGGAAGTATACGGGAGAGGTTAAATTTGTAGCATGTAAGTCGACATGTTGGTTTCTTTGAAATTTCAAGCCACACAGTTACCGAAACGAAACATACAAATCATGTGAAATGTGCGTGAAATGTTGATGTTTATCTTTTCCAGCAATAAGAGATACTTCAAAATCTTCTTGCTATTCTGAGACTTAGTCACTTTTCGTAATGCTTTTTAACCCATGAAATTTGTTCATTTTGTTTTTAAAAGAGCTAAAAATGATCCCATTTCGCTAAAGTTAACCGGTCTATATTTTGTAAGAATAAACTATTGCGCATTGAGCGATTATCTCCTTTAGCTATAGGCGTAGTATAGAAGTGATAAATTCACGCATTGACCTTGCATTGCTGTACATCGTGCCTTATTCAAGCTGTATCACTGAGAGTGAGTGATTATCTCCCTTACCCGAACAGTTCAATTGCGCACTACCTTTGCAATGTATCGTATATTATTCAGGCAGCCATCGAGAAACGTTCCAGGAAGGAATTTAG